AAAAATTGTTCACAATAATAAGCTAAAATAACTCAAAATAATCAGATAACTTTTCTTGATATAATTAGGTAATTGTGGTGCAATAAGTTACGTGTGATGCAGTATGTAGCACAGAAATAATCTGCAAGATAAAAGATAAATATACTATAATTATTAATAACTAATCTAATATTGTTACAATCAGTTTGTTAATAAAATATAATTGATATAGTCAATTTAGTTTCAATTTGTTCAAATAGTAATTTTAAAAGTGATTAGTAAATTTGATATTACAGTCTGAAATTATAACTCAAGATAGTCCATATAGTTTGAAAATATTATTGAAAAATAGTTTAGTAACTTCAGATGTAGTAATAGTAATATGAATAGAAATGAAATGAGCTCATTTAGTAAGACAATTGACAATAACTAAAATTGCATTATATTCTTGGTGAGTTATAGATAATTGCATGATAAAATCCAAAGTAATTTGTTCTTAATATTGTTTAGATGTTTTCAAGAGTTGTAGAAGTCCTAAGGATGGCTAATTATTACTTTTATTTCTTTGGCATTCTTCACAATTAAGAATATATTTATAAATATTCTTGAATATTTTTGGCCAGTAATATAATCTTTGTAAATATTTATAAGTTTTGTCAATTTCTAAATGACCAGAGATAGAGATGTTATGATATTCCTTCAAAATTTGAGTTCTTAAAGTTTTATCCTTGGAAATAGCAAGATGATTAGTATTTTTTAAATAAATTCTGTTATTTCTTAGAGCAAAGTATCATAAAGATTATTATATTGGTGTAAACACTTCAGAATTATGTAAGATTGTTCAGATTTTCTTAAAATATTTATCATTTTCATATTCTTGTTATAACTTTTCATCACTAATAAGTTGTGCAGAGATTGTAGTAATATTATTTACTTATGGTAGATGAGACAAAGCATTAGTTATTATATTTTCTTTTTTCAGTTTATATTTAACAATGAAATCATTAACTTGTAAAGTTTCCAGCTAGCAAGCTTGATATTTAAAAAGATTATGTTGTATTTTAATATACTTAAGAGATACATGATCAGTTATAACAGTAAATTGTTATCCTTCCAAATATAATTTCCAGAAATGAATAGCATATATAATAGCAAGAAGTTTCTTTTTATGTATTAAATAGTTTTGTTTAGCTGAGAATAGTTTACGTAATTTATAAGTGACAGATTGATCATCTTTTCCATGATTTTGACTAAGAATGGCTCCTATAGTAAATTCAGATACATCAGTTATAATTATGAAAGGTAGTTTAGGATCTGGCAAAATTAAGATAGATACTTCAAATGGTAAAAGACTTGAATGAATAAAATCTTTGCTAAGTAAGTCAAATAATTATTTCTTCAATTCATCTATTTTAATATAAGATAAGTAATATGTAGAGCAAGATGATGATTCAGAATCAGATATTAAATTAATAGTGTGATCTATAGCATATTTTGATGGTAACTTATTAGAAAATGAAGTAAAAAATACATCAGTGAATTCTTTAACTAGTTGAGTAACTTTACAAGAAGTTGTTACTTCTTAATATGTTTCTTTTACAGTGGCACAGATTGCAAATAATTCAGCATCAGGTAGAATTTCAGCAAATTATTATTAAGATACATAAAATGAGTTGCAACTAGATGTAAGTTTATCTTTGCTAGCATTGAACTTGATTATTTTATTGCCATAGTAAAATATCATGAAATTATTATACCAGTTGATGGTAGGATTGGCATAATAAAGTCATGATTTATTAAGTATAAGATCATAGTGTTAAATATTAAGAACTTATATATTGATATTAGAAGTATGATATATATTTAGCTTTAATTTCTTGATTACTACAGATGAGTTAACTTTCTTTTTATAACTATTAGCAAATTCCATAATAATAAGATTCATATTATATATTTGTAATTGATTGTTTCTAATATATACTTCATTAATAAAATTTCATGATATTTCACTATCAAGCAAAATTCAGGCAGACTTTTCATTAACATAATCATTAAATTTTAAAAGTTTCTCACAATTATTCTTAAGATAAGCAAATTTAATATTATTATTATATTGTATAGTAGTGGTAATATTATTATTTTCTTTAAAATGACAGTTCTTGACAAAATGATCTAGTTTGGTACAGTTATAATAATTATGAGTATTATTATTTTTATCATGATTATTATTATTATTATTACTATTATTATTATATTGATAAAAATCTTCAGCATGATCTAGTTCCATAGGTGTGAAACTAGTATTATTATGTATATTATTAGAAGAGAAACTCAGATTTCTTTTATATTTTTGATTACAATTATGATTATCACTTTTAAGAGAATGATCAATACTAAATATAGCTGTGTCATAATAAATTACAAGTTTCCAGATATTATTAAAAGTTTCTAGCATTTGATAGACTACTTCTATCTTTATTGCAGATTTAAGATCATTAATAAAATGTACAACTTGATCTAGTTCTTCTATTTCTTCAATTTATTCTATGATATTTCTGAATTTAGCATCATACTTTTGTATAGTACTAGTTTAATGAAGTTAATAAAGTTAATGATGAAGATATTATTGATAGTTAGGCAGTTGGAATACTTTATGAACTTCAGTGAGAAATATTTCTTAATTTTTAAAGGCAGAATTTTCTTTAGTAATACATATTTTATTCAAGTATCAATGAAGAGTAGCATCTTCAAGATCAGTTCCAGCATATAGGATACATATTTATTCATCTGTGATTTCTTGGATATGCAGTACTTCAGTTACTTGTAGAATTCAGATATTAATATTCTCATGTAATTTTCCTTTGTATATTGAAATCTTGAGAGATATTCTTGGTATAGGAGAGTTATATTTTGATTGACCATCACTATCAGTACTATGATTATTACTAAGTATAGTAGTAAGTTATTACTATTGTTGAACAAGATTAGTCAGATCAGTAAGAAGTTGTTGAAATTATTTACTTGAGAGATCAGGACCAGACATTATGTATATATGTATATGTGTGTATGAGTGTGTATGTGTTGAGTATAAATAAGGAAGTATATAGGAAGAAAAAGTTATTATTAAATATGTATATATACATGTATATATATAGTATTAATTTTTTCTACTGCTATCAAAGTTATAATCTTCTAGTTATATAGTATAATATATTCAGATAATTTATACAGAAAAGTCAAAATATAATATTATATCAGAAAAATTTATATAGAAGATTCAAGATATAAAGTAATATTATTTGAAATAGAATTCACATAGAAAACTAAATCAAAGCAGACAAGAAATTATATTTAAAACTTATTCTTTATTTGTGTGTTAATTATTAAAAATATAGAACAGATACAGTATCTTTAAATAATAAATTAATGTTATATAAAATTAATAATAAGATAAATAAATTAATAATAGATAATACTTATATGATAGTATCTCCAGAAGATACTTATTAATGAATAAATAAAGAAATAAATAATTATAAATGAAATATATAAATTAAAGATAATAATATTGATCAATCACTTCTTAATATTCAAGAAAGTTTAAATAATCAAACAAAAATACTGGACTTACAAGTAAAAGAATATTATACTCAATTAGTAATATGCTAGCTAAATTAGTAAAACAAGAAAAAAGAAAAATTCTACTAAGAAAACTATCTATGACTAAAATAACTCAAATATACCATGTGACTTTTCTTGGCATAATTAGATGATTATGATATAATAAGTCACATGTGATGCAATATGTGATACAGCAATAATTTGTGAATAAAATATAAATCTAATATAATTATTCTAATTTATTATATTAAGTTTGATAAAAGTAACTAATTATTGAATTAAGAATAGTTAACTAGTATAATAAATATACATATTTTATATATATTATCTTTGTTATTTTTTTCTTGTTCTATTAAAAAAGTATTTTATTAAAAATTAATACTTATATAAATTATCTTATTGAGAAAATAATTAGTTATCTTAAATTTTTCAAAATTAAAAGTAAATAATTATCATGAATACAATTATTATTACTATTTTTAAATACTTGTATATGCACAAGCTTAAAATGATAACACTATTAAAGAAAAGAAAGTATTTTTGATCAGATAATATAAGAAACCTTATTTTTATGTCATATTTTTTAATTCTTAAAAAAAATATATTTTTCTTAGTATGTTATTATATATTTTAAATAAAATATGAGAAATTCATGCTAGCAAAAATAAAATTACAAATAAATAACACAATCTGAGTTCATAATCAAAATCTTTCAGAGTTCTTTCTAAATATAAAGCACCAACAGCAAGCAAGCAACAGCCAAGCCAAGATTATTTTGATATACGTGTCATGCACCGCCGAAGTGATTTCAGTCACAAATATCACATGACAAAATCACATGTCCACCAGGCTTTAGCCAACCCTTTAAAGCTTTAAAATAGCATATTTATCTAAATTTCTTGTAATCCAGATGACGCATCAAATCCTGTCTCTACGATTTGGAACCGGGAGATGGGGAACAAGGACATGAGGAATCGGAAGATGGAGATTTAGGTAAAGGTTGATTTTTATTACTTTTTTTCTTTTGCGGGGTATCATCTACTGAAGTTATATAAACATTATTATTTTTCTTAACATTCATGGTTGCTTTATTTATTGCTCTGGCTGTTGACAAAACGTCTGTCTGTATAAAAACCAATTATTATTATTATTTGTTTAATGTTGCTATCGTCAAATATTTTCAAATACTCTACCTGTCGATTCATTAAACACATCATGTCCTAAGAAAATGTTCAAAATCATCAAAAGTAGTAGGTATTTTGATGCGCAAAAATTGTTGTAGCATATATATTGTTGATAATGGCCGGACCAAATACTTAATTTCAACAAATCCGAACCATGTGAAAAAATAATCTTGTACGATATGATTTCCAATTATAATTACTCAGGAATGAGGAATAAATTCGTTACAATGTCTTATCTCAAATGGTGGAAATAGCAAATAGCAAATATTCATGGAACACTAGTAATGTACGTTAAAATAAGAGAAATTATTTTTACTTTGCTTTTATTTTTGTGTGATGTTATGACTGGTACTGTAAGTTTATAGCAAAATAGGTTGATGTTGCTGATGTTGCTGCTGTTTATCCAATGTTTGATCGTCTATTTTAAATCCGATACGTTGAACCAGTCTTCCATCTCGTTCGCGTATATAAACTTTCTTTTCCTATAAAGAATATCCATGAATAAAAAATGACTAAATACCCCCCAAAAAAAAGGAAAGAAAAAAAAAGTGAAATAACCTTATCAGAAATATCAGTAAACACAAATCTAAATCTTTTGTTTCCTTCTGATTTTTCTTTGCTAATCAAAATGACTTCTTCCCGTTTCTTTGCTTCGTCAAGCACAAATTTTTTTGATTCTTCTTCGAGTATTCGACGTTTTATTTCCTCGAATGGTGGTCGACCAAGTTTCTTAGCTGCTGCCTATTAACAACAAATACATTAGGTTATTAAAGAGCCATAAATAGAATCAATTCTTGCAGATTATTGGTAATGGACGCGTAATAATAATTATTATAATCGACAAAGTACCTCGGGAGTAAATTCCTCGTCCTCATCAACAAGCTCAAAAAGAGGTCGATTGACTCGTGGTAAAATCACATTTAATGGCTCTTCGATATGTTTATCTCGTTTGACACCAAGCATCGCTTCCATATTCTTACGAAAATCTGTTTGCAACGGTTTCCCCTATGTAAAATAAATTAAAACTAAGCAAAAGAAGGAAAGAGGCAAAGCGTGAAAGGTAAATTATCAATCAACGAATGAGAATTTTATTAATTTTTAGGCGCTCAGTTTCATATTTGCGAAAATTTGAACCATGTATGCGTCTTAAAGACTAATCGTTTTTTACTTCACATCATCGCGTCTTGAGAAACATCACTTAATGATTTAGCATATTCAAAAGCTCTCAATTTATTTATTTCTGCAATATAATTAAGGGATGTTTAAAAAATACCTTTTCTTGCATCTTCTTTTCTAAATGTTTCAATTTCAATATAGCCTCGACTCTTTTCACTGATATGGAATAAGTTTGACCAATTTGCCTAGGTGATAGCCCTTCTTTCGTGAATGACTCATATATCTTATCTTTCAATGCATCATCTAATGGTGGTCGTGGTCTGAATAGAGGATTCATGGGAAACGGCTAACGAGTGAAAAAAAAGCTTTATCATTCCATTCAAGTTCAACAAAATTTTTAAAATCCGCTAAAATGTCTTCGTACAGTTTCTCCATAGTAATGAGTTCCGCCCAACCTCGGCTCTTTAAATTCATTCCCACCCTCCTGAGTCAGCCATTTGTGCAGTCTCGCTCCGCCTTTTATCTTTTTCTTTTTCTTAGTGTCGAGGCTACTTTTCGGAGTTATTTGGTCGGAAGTAGGCTTTGCCTCCTCTTTCTTTTCTGTAGGTGCGGGACTGAACACAGGAAATGTCGAGTGGTATGTTCGAATGATGCTATTTAAGAAAATCAAGTGTTTATTTCGACGTTCTAGTAGGTTGTTGGCTTGGCAAAAAGAACGACGCATTCTGGTAGAAGCCAAATTTTTTTCAAGAAATTTTGGATTTTGTTTATATCTGACCAATCAACATTTTCATTAAACCATTGTCTATCGCTATCGCGCTATAGATAATCGGTGGTTTTTTTATTATTATAATGTAGCTTCAGAATACTTTTATAGAGTTATTGAGAATTTGTTGTATTTCATTTATAAAATGTCTGACTACGAAGATAATGCTTACGAAGAAGACGAGTATGTATTCTTTAGCTTGTATTTTATTCATCATTTAACAAGCAAGCAAATTAGCAAATAACCACCATCCTTCACAATTTAGATTTGAGGCAAATGACGATGGAATGTTTTTAGATGTGAGTTTTCAAACTTTTTTCGTTTCATTTTTCCACACCCTCACAGTGAATAATCTTGCAATATTGACGAAAGTTTTTTTAATTAAACAGGAAGAGGACAATCATTATGAAGACGAAGCTGACCTTGATGGAGATTTATCAGGAGTTATAGGGATAGAGGGTACCCAGGATATAGATGGGCTAGGAAGAGGTGGAATGGGCGGTGAAGGGGACACAATAGTGCAGATTTTGACTAACGGGGTGGAGAGTATAAACGAGAATAAAATGCCGGCTATACCTGAGAAGCCGAAAGAAAAAGTGACAACGCCTTATATGACTAAATATGAAAGGGCACGAATTTTGGGTACTCGGGCTTTGCAAATCAGGTGAGATTATTCGAATTTTATCTTGAACCCAGTCTATCATGTTTTTATTAAAATGCCTAGCATTTACCTTCATACTCTCGGTTCAGTATGAATGCGCCAATTCTGATAGATCGTGGTAACGAGACGGATCCTTTAGCCATAGCAAGAAAAGAACTTCGCGAAAAAAAAATTCCTCTTATGGTGCGAAGGTATCTTCCGGATGGCAGTTACGAGGATTGGCATGTCAAAGATCTAATCGCCGGATATGACGAACCGACTGGTGAAGAGAGGCGTATTCAGATTGAAAACGAAAAAGAAGATGAATTGCAATGATTGACAATATAATTCTTGTTATAAAAAATGTTTTTCTGAACAAAATAAAAAAACTTTGATCATTACAAAAGTTCTGCATCATCCGCATTTATTGAAGTCTGAACCAGTATTCCTCCCGAATGCGAATATTGAATCTGTGCCTGGTTCGTGATCACATGCATAGCACAATTTAATTTAATAAGGATGCGCAAATTTTTAATCGGCCCAACAAAACAATAAAAAAATCTGACTTGAAGCTCAAAAAAAACAATTTTACATATAATCTTTGTCAAAAATAGTTGCCGGAACATATATGCTTTGCGTATTTTTATCGGTTCTTTATCATGTGATCAGGAATCGGGCACAGATTCCTCCAAATATGATTGGCAACTCGTCAAGCTTTGACAAGTGCGATTACTTTTGCACAGCTTATTGGTCCAACGGCTTGAGATGTCCAACTACGACTAAAGGGAATCTGAATTAAAGTCAAAACGATGTCGGCTTGGTGCGAAGCAAAGATCGGATCGATACATCATAGCGTGGTCAGTCAGAAATTCTTCGATAATCTTGTTTCACGCGAGATAATGAATTAGGTCGCGTGTTAAGCATTTGTACTACATTCATATATTTTTTTGACCATTAATTATTTCAACTTTACTGGAATACTTACGATGAATAAATATCTAATACAATTTGCACAATGTAATTTCACACTCGAATTTTTGAATTTTTGATAAAATTAATAAACTTGTTTTCAAAAAATAAAATAATTTATAACATTTTTATTATGTGATTTCATCATTTCTTAAATAAGCACACGAAGAATTTCGTTTACCCGAACTTGATTCCTTGGCGAAACTGTGCAATATTTCAATAAAGTACAATTTGCAAGAATATAAAAAGGATGTATGTATATCTATTTATTCCCTTGTTTGAGCTTGTTTAATTTGACTTGTTCTATTTTTATAAATTTCATTCCCAAATTCTTACAGATTTCTTTTTAGTCACCATTTTTTATTGTTGAGGTTGCTTCGGACGAAGCAGCTGCTCAATTGGTTAAGCGTGCTATTTTAATAAAGTGCGTCATCGTTTTTTATACTTTGTAATAAAGAAACACGTTAATCTTGGACGTTTGTTTTAAATAAATATGTTTGATCTGATTTTAGAAATATTTATGAGTTATGGGGCTCAGGTGAAACATATAATCAAGTTCACGCACAAGTAAAGAAGAATCCCGAACGATGGGTAAGCAACATTTTAATAAACAAATTGCGTGATTCTTCTTGTGTGTAAGTTAAAAATTGACCGAAAGTTCATTTATCGTTCAAAGGTCACATACTCGAATCAGACTTTTAAATTTATAGTGAAAGCATTTGGTTCAACATGTTCAGCCGAATACCAACTACGTGTCATCAACTCATTTTCGTACTTGGGATTCAAGGGTCCTATCGACTTGAAGAATCCACAAGTATTATTTTCGGTGATGGAAGATTACGGAATAGAACCTAATGCACCATTGCCGCCAGATTACCCTTGCGCAATTTATTTTGGCAGATTTGTATGGTATTTTTATTAATTTTTTGTCATGATACATGGAATCTTTCTTTTGTTTTTATCCGTGTAATTACCTATAGCTTATTCTATATAAAAGATCGCATCCGGAGACAGAGATTTGATACAAGTGTATAATGTAAAAAAACGAAATTATATTGGGAATACCACGATGGATGCGGAATTGTCGTTAATAATGGCAAATCAGACACTTGTATGCATTCACAAGATTATGGCTTTATTTAATTTCTGGTCAAGTTGCCAAAAAAAAGAATCCAATTTATATTAATCTTAAAGAATACATATCACATAACAGGCAGCTCCTGGTAAACTTATTTATGATCCTTTTGTGGGTACGGGCAGTTTCCTCGTTACATGTGCACAATTTGGTGCTTATACCTTGGGCTCGGATATTGATGGAAGGCAAATTCGCGGACAAGGTAAATTTAGAGTAATAACTAGAATAATATTTGCGTGCACTGTTAAACTTGTAAGAATCATTGATTTAAATTGAAAATTTTGATTATTCATTATTTATAGGAAACAAATCGATAAAAACTAATGCGCGACAGTATAATGTTCACGATAGAGTATTTGATAATTTGGTCTTTGATATTTGTCATCATCCGTGGCGCGAGAATTTATGGTTTGATGCAATCGTTACTGATCGTAAGTTTCTATTTATTTGATTCTTATATTTGTGTTTTAACTTCTGAAATACTAACAAATTCGATATACCTAGCTCCGTATGGTGTACGAGCAGGAGCAAAAACTCTTGGTCGTAGACACGAAAAGAAACCGACAAAACCAAAAACGATAGACGAGTTACCAGCTTATAAGTAAGTAAAGACATTTTTTTAGTATCACATTCTATCAGAAATTCAATTTATTTATTAATGCTTTGAAAGTCGCGAGAATTACTATCCGCCTACAAAACCATACGAAATGTCCGAAGTTCTTGTAGATCTTTTAGAATTTGCTGCGCGGTTCTTGGTAGTTGGTGGACGGCTTGTGTACTGGCTACCGACCGTTGTCGAAGAGTTAGTTCAAATTTTTTCGCAACATTCAGATTAAATCCGCTTTCTATCACCTTTTTCTCAATTGTGTCTGATTCATATTTTGGTTTGAAATTTTATTAATTAGGTATACAAGTGAAGACATCCCAAAGCATCCTTCCATGAAATTGATATCCAACAGCGAACAAAACTTTGGCGCCTGGAGTCGTCGATTAATCACGATGGAAAAATATCGAGAAAACATGACGGGTATTTATCACGCAACGGTTAACAAAGACTACAAAGGATTAGAAAGCATTTATCAGACAGGTGCTGGCATTGGCATTGATGAAACTGGGAACTCGAATAATAACTCTAAATTTATTAATACTAACAACGGTGATGATTATATTGATCACGATGATGATCAACGTAAACCTGGGCACTATCTGTTTAGACAAAAGGTATGGCTTATTGGCATCAATTAAGGATGATCATATCGTGTGTCTAATTTTGCTTGTCCACGATCCATGTAGTACTTTTCTTTTAAATCTCAAGAAAAATCTAAACGTGAATGAAAGTTGATTTAATCATCTTTGTAGCTAGTAATAAAAATACTTCACGTGACCTACTTCACATAATCAAACTATTTTAATCAATCAATATCAAGCACGCGCGTAATAAAATAAACATATTTTTATAATTGCTATATATCTCTTGTTCCATATATATAATCACATGGAGACACCAAAGCTTCTTCCCAGTAGTTTAGCCACTACTGATAAACATCATAAAGCATTGGACTCTTACATTGGGTATATTGAACCAAAGTTGGTAATAATTTACTTTATAGTAAGGATTTGGAAAAAAAATCAACAAACGATTGGGAAAACTCTAGACTAACTCATTCTATGTGATTGTTGTAGAACTTTTGCAAATCAAGTTTCTGTGCTCACGCGTCCACAGCAAAGACTTCGTCGCCCTTCAAACGCTATGTCATACTCTCCACTTTTAGTCAACGAAATGGCATCACGAACGACAAACTACAATTCTTCGTACTATAATGGTAACAATAAAATCGCTCACGTGCCAGAGGCTTCAACAACGGCCACCAAAGCATTTCTTGATATTCTTGCGAAGCATTTGCGAAGATGCAAAAAAAAGGATGAAAATAATGCTTGCCTTGTTGACTCGTTTCCGCTGAGTAAATTATCTTCAGTTGCACCCAGGATTTTAGCAATGGTTGATGAGAATTTGGATGACGAGCAACTTCGTGTTGAAATCTCCAGCCTTCTAGTAGGTGGTGATGATGGTGGTGGTGATCATAATTTGATTTCCTATGAGTTGTTTGACGAAATAACGGATGCTGCTAACACTGCTTTGGATATTGCTGAAAACGACATGATGATTAATAATGAACTAGATAAAAATGTTATATTACATATTGATGATCACGATCAAAGTATCAGGAGTGAAGCCAAATTCGCGATAAACAACGACAATAATAATAATATCAACAGTAACGGCAACAAGAATAATAATGACTTAAATACATCTATAGGAGGTGGTGACATTCGAGAAGCATATCCGATTCCTTCTGCACCGTTCTTGAGTGATTTCTGCGACATCAAAAATATTTTATCCAGTGCTGATTGGCGATTTGGATAATGAACACGATGATGAAATTATGGCGGACTATTGGGCTGATCTTGGAGTTGATGATGGACAATCCCCGTCATTTTCTTACGAAGATGAGGAAGATCCGATTATGGTTTGATTCTCTGTTGTGATGGAATTTTATCAGACTTTTTATGTTTGATATCTTTAATCGTTAGATTTATTTCGCGTCACATTTTATGATGCGATTATCTGACTTTCTACATGTAAACTCTGAAGTCTTTTGTTATTAATCTAAAATAAATAATTCTTACTGTATATATAGTACTCAACTCACTCGTTGTATATCTTCCTCTTGCCACTTTCCTTCCATTTTGTAATATATTGTAAACAAATAATACATAGAGATACGATTTTTTAAGTTTCATGTTTTTGGTCTTTTGCGTCATAGAATTCATAATATTCATCAAACATTCTTCAGCTAATTCATCAGCCATTTTTTATTAGCCATTTCATTAGCTATTTTATCAGCTGTTCTATTCGTACATATATATATATATGTATATCGTTTCTCGCCTGCAGAAAGATTGAAGTATCGTTCATCCTCCTTGAACGTTTCTTAATATATGGCAGACACTAATACAGACATAGAATCAAATAATGAAATCGAAAAGTCACCTAAGAAAACACCTTTCGAAAAGTTTAAAGTTGTTTGGAATAATATGAGAAACATTTATGATTATGAAATCGAAAAGTCACCTAAGAAAGCACCTTTCGAAAAGTTTAAAGTTGTTTGGAATAATGAAATCGAAAAGTTTATTCAATCGACACCTGGAATTAAGAAAATACCTTTCAAAGAGTTAACTAATATTGAGAAAATTGCCGAGGGGGGTTTTGGTGAAGTGTATAAAGCTGTTTGGAACGAGAAACCGAGAGAGGTTGAGGTTGCATTGAAGTCAGCTAAGACAATAAAAGAATTATTGCATGAGGTAATTGATATTAACGATGGTTTCTAAAGTCACAATTTGAATTTGATCGATAAATATGCGAAATTCCTATTCCGTAGTTATTTTTTCACCTTTTTTCTAATTCTATTTAATATTTATATAATAATTCATTGGAGGCTAAATTGACCTATAAATGTGAAAAAAGACGGTAAAAATTATAATTAAGCTTATTATTTTCTTTAATACCTATTAATTAATTATCAACTTTTTAATTAATGATGATTATAATTGTGAGAATTCGTCATTTTATTTTGCATTTCCATTTTAATTTTATTTGATATTAATTTATTTAACTAATCCATTATTCTATCTTTTATTTAGTGAGTAAGAAATCAACGATTTTATTTTGCATCTTTCATTTTAATTTCCTTTGATATTGATAATTTATTTAACTAATCCATTATTCTATCTTTTATTTAGATAGTAAGAAATCAACGATTTTATTTTGCATCTTTCATTTTAATTTCCTTTGATATTGATAATTTATTTAACTAATCCATTATTCTATCTTTTATTTAGATAGTAAGAAATCAACGATTTTATTTTGCATTTTAGGTAGGAAATTGGCTATTTTTCGAATTCATTATTATTATTTTTTTTTCATTAGATATCAGTCTATTATATTTAATGCACTTTCTTACCATTTGTCCAATAAAGGTTTTCGAATTTTACTATTATTATTATTTATCATTTTATACTTTTTTCATTAGATATCAGTCTACTATATTTAATACACTTCTTACCATTTTTCTAATAAAGGGTTTAGGTAAGAAATGATAAACTCTGTTTTCTTTTTTATTTTCAGTATATTAATTTATCTATTTTTTAATTTATATATAGGACTCGATATTATAAAGTCTATGGGATAACACACGATTCTTCAAAAGGAAAATATTTTTTAGCTATTAATTATGCCAGCCTTGGTGATCTGCGCCATTATCTACGAAAGCAATTCACCAAAATATCATGGGCTCATCGCATACAAGTGCTATATGATATTTGTACTGATCTTCAGTTTATTCATTCAAAAGATATTATACACGGTGATCTGCATTCTGGAAATATTCTTCGATTAAGTGAATATGAAACTATAATATCTGATATGGGTGCTGCAATCAGAAAAAATGAAAAAAGCGAAATGTTTGGTGTGATGCCGTTCGTTGCACCAGAGGTTTTCCGAGGAGAGGCATTCAGCATGGCATCAGATGTCTATGCATTGGGAATAGTCATGTGGGAGTGGTGTGTCGGTAAACCGCCATTCGGTAAACGTCCTTTCGATGGTAGATTAGCCTTAGAGATATGCGATGGATTGCGACCAGAATTACCGGCGGAAGGTTTACCTGGCTTTTACCGCGACTTGATTGTACGTTGTTGGCATCAAAATCCCTCACAAAGACCAACTTCCAAAGAGATTTGTGACATCGTTAATAAATGGTTTCAAGACCGAAGTATAGAAATGATGGAACAAATAAAAGCCGCAGAGGCGTTTAGAATTGCAAATGCATCCAAATATGATTCCGAAGAAAGTTACACGACGCATCCTTTGGCCGTTTATACGAGCAAAGTTTTGCCGAATGTGAATCAGGAAGGTTGGTAGTTTTCGATGATGTTTGTATAATCTATTTCTATCAATCTAATAAATATTAATTACAATTCTAACTGAGTCAGGTAACGTTTTTCTAAATATAAACGATATTATGTTAACCTTTCAATTTAATTAACAATTTGTATCGAATACTAGGTTCTACAAATGTTGTTCCAAATGAAGGTAAAATCACTATATGCAACATGTTATTTTTATTTAAAATATTCAATTTATAAATACTTGTTTGCAGAATATGTAAGCACAGAATTTGAGATAGATATCGAAGCCAAATCAACAAATGAAGGTAAAATTATTAAAAATACTACAGTAATGTTTTATTTACAATATTTGTATACTATCACTAAAAGCTAGAATTCAGAGATTATAAGTATCGAGACGAAACTAAAGAAACGGAAAAACAACAAATAGACGCCGCCGAGGAGGTTAGAATTGCAAAATCCAAATAGGATTCCGAAGAAAGCTACACGACGCATCCCTTAACCGTTTGTGAATCAGGAAGGTTGATAGTCTTCAATAATATTTGTATAATTTGGTACTTTCAAGCTAATAAATAAAATGCCAAATATCAACAGTTCAATTTGATCTCAATCTCGATGATGAATTTTAGATAGAAGTTTTTAGGGAAATGGATATGTCTCAGAACGGTTAATAAAACTAAGTTGTCAACTTTGCAACAACTTCCCCTGCTCTTTATATTTTTCTGCTTTGGTCATTTATATTTAAAATTTTCATTTCTTTATCTCTTTTGGCATATGAATTTTTTTTGCGATATATTTATTTTTACTCATCTATCTCGATAAATGTTAGACTAATAACAGAAGAATTAATGAGAACAATTTTAAACAATAAACCATTTTTTGTAAAATTAATATTAACTTATGTAAAAATACATTTTGAATTTAAAAAAAACTTAATTCGAAGATCAAGTCATTGTGAAGACAAAGGAGAAAACAATATTATTGAAACAATATAATGGGGATGAACGGGTAATTATGGATTTATATATCGTCACCATCATCAATATACCAGAGATGACAAGACGATTCGATTAAAGATTTGAGAATTCGGATATTGTTAATATACTCAACTTTGAGAATTTTCGTCTTTGGTAATGGATTACCTATACTTTTATCATCCTGATCTCAAGAAATTTTCCGAATTCCTGATTTTGGGAGATGCGTGTAATCGATATAACACAAACGCGAAAAAATAGCAAATTACGCGAAATTTTTTACGCTTATCTAACTGAATTTAATTAATCCCGATTTTGGATAAATTTATTGATTTGTCATTATAATGGAAATTTAGACTTGACCCAATTTTGGCTGGAGTTAAATTAAAACTCGGATCAAATAAATTTGTCCAACCAGTATATATTTTAGCTTATACGTAACTTAATAGTATGCGCAGAAATTCAAGTTAGTTTTCCAAGAAAACGATCGACAAAAAAAAGATAGATCGCAAGCATTTCAAAAATTTGAGACTCGATATTATCATGGTCGGAAAAAAGTTTCCACGTGATCCAAGTATTGAAACTCATGGCAGACTTATATGATCGCAAATCAAATACCACTGTAATTAAATTTTTTTGTGTGAAAAACATAGTTTTATAATTATAACATTTGAAGCTTCGTGGATAAAATGCAAATATGATTTGGAGATAAATAAAAAATAGATAAAGAAATAAAAAAACAAATTTTTATGTGAATGATATAATTGTATTTTTCATGATCCCTGTTCTGATGGTGGTTGTTGCCTTTCTTGTTGCTCACGTGAAGAATGAATAAATTCCGAATGATGGAGTGCCATCTGTAGATGGATTGTCATTCGTGTTCTCCTGAAGTGGAAGGGGCAGGAGTATGATGAACACTACTTTGAGAAGGATTTCGCGGAATAACCTAAGAGAAAGAGTCAGTAGTGAAAAGGGCCAAGTTATGATTCACTTGATAAAATAGTCACAATTAATAAATGACATACATAAACCGCGCCATCTTCGTCTTCTATGATAATATTATCTACTTCATCGTACACAGAAAAACTTCGTCCGAGAGGAGGTCGCCTGCGAGATTCTTCTTGTTCTTCGCGTCTCTGAGGCTGTTTATCTTTTTGATTTCTTGAATTTGCTCCTTCTGCTTCATCTCCTATGCTAACAGTTGTTTCTATTGTATTATTATTGCCAGTGGTACTAGCACCAACTGCAGAAGGTGGAAGATGAGCAGGAAGCGGCGTCTTAACTGTGCTGCTGATCTCATTGACACCTTTTTGATCATCTTGACTTGTGGCAGTTAGTAATCGCACAAATGGAGTAGAAAGACTAGCCGTATTAATCCTTTGACTGATTTTGAAAACTGGGATCTAAACGTATTTTTGAATATAGAAATTGAAACGATAATCTAGTAAAGATCAATTTCTAATAAAAATACAAGCTTTATCAGCTAAAGTACATACCGTACAACCATGTACTAGAGCACTCGTAAGTACAATGAAATATACGACTAAATATCCAATATTTTTCATTTTTAGTATGTTAAAATTACGAATTAGCAGTAAAAAATTATCAAATATTGTAAAAATAAGAATCATCATTAATTACTGGGTACTATAATTTCTCGACAAAGTTCGTTATCTCCACCCTTATCAAACTTTTGCTGAGCGAAGGTTGCATAAAATATAGCACCTAATAATAGAAAAAGAATTACTAAACATGTTTATCCTTAAAATACAAAATACAATTAACATCAAAAAGAATCAACATACTGACGCCTATTGGGCCAAACCAGCCGCTGAATACAGCTAAAATTCGATTTTCACATTAGAAATATATCAAAAAGAAAATGGAATTCAATCTACCAATACCTTCTCGATAAGTCTGTATAGCTGGTATCCAACGGTACAAAATTAAAATTATGGGCAAACGACGAAACAAAAGAATAAGAACCGCAATAATGGTTAAGCGCCATGGCGTAAGGCCCAAGGCGAGATCAGAAAAAGATGACCACGGCATCGTCGCACCAATAAAGACAAATACTGCCATGTTGAGCAGCATATCGATAATCTCTTGGAAATGAGATTCTTCGGTCTCTTTACGAAACCAGTCGCTATTATTATTGTTTATATTTAATAAATTCAAATGAGATTTATGTATCTTAACTATACGTACAAGAAAATGCATAATAATTAATGATTACTTACTCCCAAGTTATCGAGTTACCCGCAATAAAACAAGCAAGCAAATCGTCACTTCCAATCATTGCGACAGTACCCATCAAAAATAACTTTTTAAATATAATTTAACATTAACTTTATATTCCTTTTCAATTTTGACTTTTTCTTATACTTACAGCTAATGCAATCGCAAACGCTAGAAAAGATTCTTTATCTATAAGCCGTCTAATAAAAAAAGTTCTTAGTACATACATATAAAATTCAGTTTGACATTCAATACGAAATAACTTACTTAGTTTCGGCCAAGTATAATAATTTACGTGCAACATAACCAACAGCAAGTCCAATTACACACGAAAACAGTATTTCGTACAACCAAACAACATAAACCCATTTAGCAATAGCATCTCCCGGCTTCTCTGTCATAAGATAAATAGCCATAAATAAGAGTGGAAAAGCGAGGCCTAATATGAAAAGTTTAAAATTTTATTTAGTATCAAGGGATGCGAAATGAAAATGTCATATGCGAAACATACCGTCATTTGCACCACTAAAAAAGAAATATTAAAAATGTTAACTATGAACGAAAATAAATCCGATATTAAAAAAATATATATATAATATTACCTTTCTGCGGATAGAACATTGCGCACATGAGGCGGCACATGTTTTTCGGCGAATTTACCTTTAACGATGGAATTTGCAAGTATCTAGGGATAAGATCAAAAGACATTTATGTATAAAAAGGAAATCTAATGTATTCTATATGTTCTCTTAAAGTTTCTTACAGGATCCGTGGGAGAGACACACGCGGCGATCACTAATGCGTTTAACTATAATAAAAAAGAAATCCCATATTTATAAGCTGATGTTGATTTTTGTTTCATTTTTTTTTGATATTAAAAATTGAAAACTTACAAAATCAACCTTGGATATAAGCAGCCAAATGATAAGAGCTGAAACAAGCCACATATATCCCATCACGGGGAAAATCAAGCAAAGAATCGATTTTAATTCTTTTAAGAGGTAGGCCCTTTAACAAGAGATTGTTAGGGTTAGAAAAGAATAAGACCTTAAAAAACACGAAATAAACTCGAGACAAATTTACTTTGGCAAAGAAACTCCGGCGGCCATAACCTATCAACTTTGTGCGTAAATAAGGAGCATGTAAGATGAGCAAACTAGGATTTTATCTAAATTTTTCTTACTTGGATCGCGATAACGATTCGACAAAATTGCATTGTAATTTTTGTAAGTTGCTCTTGATCTCCCCATTCTTGTGGTACAAATACTCCTAATGCAACCGGACCCACAATAATTCCTATTAAAATTGAAACAACTAAAATGCACAAAAATTACGATAAAATTACGATAAAATTAAATCACGCAAATTATTTTACATTATAAAATGATGTGATCTAAAATTACTTACGCGCTTCCGACAGATATAAACGCTCCTTGATAAATAAAGACACAAAACCAAAGATTAAAATAAAGCCGCCAAGAATAGCTGCTACTATAGAAACTTCGTCAATTTCCACCAAATTCATGCCCTTTATCCGAAAAACTTAACTACAGTTTAAAAATGATTGCGTTTTTGATATAATGATCGAAGTGTGTTTAATTGAGATGAGATCAACTTATTTAGTCACTAACGAAAAAAAGATAACTTTAATGATTTATATAACAATGAAGTCAACAGAATTTATTCGATATATTTTGAAATAAAGTTTTTTTTATTATATAGTTCACTTAATTATGTCAAAGGTTTGGAAATGTGCACGAGGTTTTACGTATACTATGTCAAAATAAAATTGCTTAATGGTGGGCACAAATTTTTCGACCTTACGACTGTTTTTGGGTAATCTAATGAATAAAAAATAAGATATTATTATTTTTTGTGTTTTTTGCGCAGGAGAGAAGGCCAAAAACTTGAAGCTTACCTTATATTGAAGAGGTATGGCATTATATTTCAATGCAGCTTTAAAGGTGTTATCCGTCGTATCGATATATATATATCTGTAAATGTCAAAATTCACGTTTAAAAAGTTCGGCATACATGTTTATCTTTTTTTGGAATTGTTTCACCGATGAATATCATTGTTTGTTTACTAGTTCTGATCGGGGCACCATATGCCGGGACAAGGTTAGTCTATCAAATCACTGGAAATTTCATTATAAAATATATTGCTTGTTTTTTTTCTGATCCGAAAGTAGCCATCCGATATCACCCTTTAACCAATCAAATCGCAAGATCGCAAAAACTCCAAATAAACGCCTAGCGCTAGGTAGAAGTTGTGTTAAATCATTACTCACGAGTTTATAAGAGATATTTTCTAGGAGAAAGTTGTTTTTGTCTCTTATATGCAGCTTGAAATTAAAAATCCATGCAGGAGTTGGTGATCTTCGTAAATTTATTAACTCCAAAGAAATTTGCGAAGTAATTCCTTATGAGTTCAAAGGTGTTAAATGAGAATGAATCACCTTTCATTTATCATATGAAATCACTTTTTGTCGGTTCACATGATTTTAAGAGGTAAACAATCATCAAAAAAAACGAAAAATACCTTGTATTGTATCTCGAAATTTTTGAAACTATATAAAAAATGTTCCTTGCGAATTCGAATTTTACTATAGATCTTATATACATATATAACCTTAACGCCAATCCTAACCCAAATGTTATTATAAGAAGGCCAGAATGTACCACGCTACTTCCACCAAATCTTTTAAGAACATATTCGATAGCTTTCATCAATTGATCGAATCACATATCGTTTTCCCACTGGTGCTATTGCTTCATTAAGACGTTAATGATGCGAATGTGGTTCGATCATTGCTATTATTTGATCAAAGATTTCTATAACTTGTTTTCAAACTTGTCCTTAATGTGTATGATAGAAAATTATTATATAATTAGTTGGTTTTACAGAAAAAGACTTGATTAATTAAATATAGCGCTTACCCGGAGAAGACAATGTATTGCTGCATAACTATTATTATAGTGAACTCGTTTCTAACTTCTAACCATCCATGCTTTGTCGAAAATGGCTTGGCGATAAAATTCATTCGCCGTCATATTTGATTTAAAAAATGGATATGGCAAAATCTTGTAGCAATATATTAGCATTAGTAAAAATATCAATATATGCGTTCATAAATAGAATTATTAATTCTCACCAATTTATTGTTTGTTTCCAATGCTTGAATACTTGAAAACATTCCACTAAGTTGTAAATAAAGAGTTCCAACAGATTTCATTATTCGGGGAACATTCAATTAGCGAAGCTGTTGTTTTTCAAAAAGACGCAATGACAAGTATACTAAATGAAAACAAGTTTTAAACCAATAAAAATACAAAAACAAATCCGATCTCCGAACACATGATCTTTAAAGAGCGAGTGCTGGACACGTACCGATCATGTGACATTGTTCATCGACGATTCATATTAACTTTTATTATATATATATATTACAGATCATATATTTATATATATTATATAATTTGTAATCTATTAATTTAATTTGAATTTTATATCATATATAACTATATAACTCTTAATAATAGAAAAATACTAAAGCAGAATAGTAAATTATATATCAATTTGAATTATATAAATTCAGATCATATCTAAAAATATTATCTTAATTAATTATAACTTGTAATAGCTAATTAGAGAACTATGATTAATTATGATAGCTAATTAGAGAATTATAATTAAGTTGTGATATTATTTTTAATTATATTAATATAAATTTATCTAATAATTAAAGTTATATAATTGTATATAATATATTTTATTATTATTACAAGATAATTTTATTTATTTTTATTTTTTTAAATATTTGAAAGTGATTGATTAATAGAAAAATAAGAATAATAAGAATAAAATAAAGAATGAGATATTAATTAAGAAATAATTATATTAATAATACAAGCTTAAAAATATATTTATATAAAAAATACAAAAAAAATTAAATATATTTATGCAAGAAATACAAAAAAAATCAAATCTTATATTTTAAACTATATTTAAGTTACAAAAAATACTATAAAAACAATTTATATATAGATACACACATATATATATATTATAATTAATCATCTATTTATATGATACAATAAATATAATATAGTATATAATATAGCTATAATATATAACACAGTAATCATTAATTATTACTAAATCAGATACATAAGAAATTTATATTAATTAATTTAATTTATTATTAATTCTATTTTTAATTTATCTTATTATCTATATTTAGTCTTATTCTTTTATTAATTTAGTTATGTGTGTCATATCTAATTTATAATTTTATTAAATTAATAATTTTCTAATTAATTATTATTAATTTTTCTTTTTTTTCTTATTTTAATCTTGAATATCTTAATATTTCACTAATTTTAATTCTTAATTATTATGTGTTTAATATTCTTTATAATTATTCTTTTGAAATTCTACTTGTTCTTGAGTAAATTAAGTGAAATATTATATTAAAAATAATTTATAATTAGCATAACAAAGAAAATATTATATATAAAGAGTCAAAAAGTAATCAAGAAGAATAATTAAGTTTGATAAAAAGAATTAACTACTAAGTTAAAAGTAATTAATTAGTATTTTTCTTTAATAAATATATAATCTGATTCAAAAAAAACTGAAATTTTTTATTTATTATTATATCATGATTATTATATTAAATCATGTGAAATTTTTTTTATTTAATATTTAGAAATAGACAAATTTATTTATATAAAATTAATATGAAATATGTTCTCTATAATTTATTTATATCATCTTTTTATTAATCATACTAATCTAATTAAAGTAGATTTTGAAATTTTCTCTTATTCTTCCTTCATATACTATTCTAACTCATTAATATTTTTTAATCTTCTTTTTTCTACATTTCTCTTAACAATTTTCTATAAGTTTTTTATTGGATTTAAATTCAGACTATTTGATAATCAGTCTATAATTTTAGGTATATTTTCTAAAAAAAAGAATTTTACTAAGTAACTTATATTATAATTAATTATCTATTTATATAGCGTAATAGATATGATACAATATATAGTGCAACTATAGCACATGACACAGTAATTACTAATTACTACTAAATTAGATAAATAAGTAATTTTTATTAATTAATCTTATTTATAATTAATTCTATTTTTAATTTTTTATTAATTTAACTATGTATATCACATCTAATTTATAGTTTTATTAAATTAATAATTTTCTAATTAATTATTATTAGTTTATTTTTTTTCTCACTTTAACTTTGAATAATCTAATATTTTGCTAATTTTAAATTCTTTATTATCATGTATTTAATATTTCTTGTAATTATTCTTTTTAAATTTTACTTGCTCTTGATTAAATTAAGTAAAATATCATGTTAAAAATAATTTGTAATTAACATAGCAAGAAAAATATTATATATAGAGAGTTAAGAAGTGATCAAAAAGAATAATTAAGTTTAGTAAAAGTAATTACTACTGAGTTAAGAGTAGTTAATTAGTATTTTTCTTTAATAAAATACATATATCTTATCTTATTTTCTTCTTTCTCTATTAAGAAAGCATTTTGTTAGAAGTAAATTTGAATAATTATCTTATTGAGAAGATAATTATATTTTAGTTAAAAGTAAACTCATATAAATTATCTTATTGAGAAAATAACTATATTTTATCAAAAGTAATTCTTGCATATATTATTTTATTAAGAAGATAATTAGTCATATAATCTCTTAAAATTATAAAAGTAAATAACTATCATAAATACAGTTACTATTACTATTTTAAAATAATTACATACATATAATCTTAAAATGATAACAGTCTTTTTAATACCTTCTCTGTGAAGATAAAACTGAAAATAAAATTGTTAATCACAAAAGTAATTCAAATTAAATTCAACAAAATTAACTAATTACAAAATAGAAAGACAGTTTCAAAGATTAATCAATCTTCTTAATTTATCAAGATTATCTAGATAGTTAGAAAAGAAACTATATCAATTAGTTTATAATTTATTTATTACTGATATATTAAAAGAAGGAGTATCAACAAGCAAATATCAAATATAACTTTGATTTCAAAAGTATTTGACTCATACTGCAACTGAGATTGCTGATATTATTCATAATTTACATAAGAAAATTACTATATTTAATCAACAAAAATCATATTATACTTAGAGATCAAGATCTAGTACTTCAGTTAATACTTCAGTCAGAACTTCTCATTATTATCCACTTCAATCTCAATTCCTAATATATTCTTCATTAATCTTCTACACAAAAGAAGAGCTCCAGTTCAATCAAGAAATACAATAAAAAAAGAAGAAGTTCAGTTTCCTATTCTTTTAGATTCATTTCTATTACAATCTCAAAGAAATCAAAAAGAAGAAATAGCAAATCAAGCTGTACAAACTCTAGTTCAAGCACTCTTGCCACTTGTTCAAGCAATGCAGAATTAATAAAATAAATAAGTTAAGCTAACAATAGTACCACTTCATTTTTATAATAGTAGAATATATAA